AGTGCCGTAAGTGCCAGGGATGGGGTCGCGGAACTAAACATTGCTACATGCCAGCTAAATGCATGAATTGTGGTGATTCCTCTCACGCAAAGGACGACTGTCCTGTGAAGGAAGATCCTAAGAAATTTAAATGTTCAAATTGTGGTGAAAATCACAAATCCAATTTTTGAGAATGTAAGACTCGCAAAGCGATCGTACAATCTCGTTCCAAGCGACAGGTAGGAAACGCTCCACGTTTTCGACCAGGTACAAATTCCTCTGCTGTTAACAACGGTCAGCGAGGAACAAATTCTACATTCGTACCCGTAGGTACAAATATCACCCCTGCTTCAAATTTTTCATCTGTACCTACTCCCCTCGCTGCTAACAATGTTCAGCGAGTTAATGGAGCTACCTATGCTGCTATTGCAGTGGTTAGAAATCAAAATACTAACCAACGTACTAACGGAAATTTTGACAATTTTGACTTAGGAAGTATTACAGCCCCCAAAATGGAATTTTTACAGAAATCATTGATTGACATGATTTCTAATATGCTTAAATCTAACTCCATGTTTGATGCCATTCAAACTGGAGTCAAATTTGCAAACAATATTGTCATGACTTTAAAATTCAGTAATGGATTTTAAAGAATTAAAATTTTTAAATTGGAATGCTCGATCTCTTAAAGATAATGAAGACGAGCTATCTTTTTGAGAGTTCATAACGTGCATCTTGCCGTTATAACTGAAACGTTCCTTAAACCTTTTTTGAAACTTTGGGAGTTTCTGTTGAAACAAAATTTGGACAACTTACGTTTATAGCTGCTTATATGCCATTCCAATGCGTAGGCCAGCAAAAGAATTTTCTCAAGGGTGACCTTCAGAAACTTATTATTCTTCATTATTGGTGATTTTAATGCAAAACACCGCTCATGGAATAATGCTCAAAGCAATTCCAATGGTAATATTCTGTTTGATAATCGTTCTGCAGGTTATTACTCTATTCAATATCCAAATAGTCCAACATGCTTTTCTTCAGCAAGAAATCCCTCTACTATTGATTTGGTCTTAACTGATTCATGTCAACTTTGTAGCCAATTGGTTATCCATGCTGACTTCGGTTCTGATTACCTTCCAGTAGCTTTTGAAATTTCCTTAGAAATAATTTGTAATTCCAACAGTGCTACTTTCAATTACCATAAAGCTAATTGGGAGCAATATCGAACATTTATGGAATATAACTTCAATCCAAACATTCCTTTGCAAACCAAAGATGAAATTAATTATGCTCTTGAATCTCTGACTACTTCTATAGTTGAAGCAAGAGCTGCGTCAGTTCCAAAATGCGAGGTTAAATTCGATTCAATTAAAATAGACGACGATCTTCAACTCTTAATCCGTCTGAAAAATGTCCGTAGGAGACAATATCAAAAAACACGTGAACCTGCCATGAAAGTTATCTGGCGGGATTTGCAAAAACAAATTAAAAAGCGATTCTCTGCCCTGAGGAACACCACTTTTGAAAATAATGTTTCTAAATAAGACCCAAGTTCCAAACCCTTTTGGAAACTCACGAAAAAAAAAACCTCAAAAGCCTATTCCAGCGCTTAAAGAAGGTGGTAAAATTTTGATCACAAATTTGGAAAAAGCTCAGAAACTTGCTAAGCAATTCGAGAGTTCCCATAATTTCAGTTTGGGTCTTACTAGTCCTATTGAGAATCAGGTTGCTCGGGATTTTCTGAATATTTTCTCTCGGGAAAATATTTTTGATGATTCCTGGGGGACTGATTTGGACGAAGTAAGGTCTATGACTAAAAAGTTTCAAAATATGAAGCTCCAGGTGATGATGGAATATTCTATATCCTCATAAAAAAAAACTCCCAGAGAGTACCTTGTCTTTCTTGGTAAAATTATTTAACAGATGTTTCCATTTGGCATACTTTCCTGATAAATGGAAAAATGCAAAAGTTGTTACAATTTTGAAGCCGGATAAAAATCTAGCTGAAGCTTCTAGCTACCGTCCAACAAGTTTGCTTTCTTCAATAAGTAAACTTTTTGAAAAGATAATTTTGAATAGAATGATGCTTCACATCAATACGAACTCAATTTTCGCAGATGAGCAGTTTGGATTTCGCCATGGGCATTCAACTTCTCATCAACTCTTAAGAGTTACCAATTTAATTCGTTCAAACAAATCTGAAGTTGCTCTTCTAGACATAGAAAAAGCATTCGACAGTGTTTGGCATGAAGGTTTGATTGCTAAATTGAAAAAGTTTAATTTTCCACTTTATATTATGAAATTAGTTCAACATTATTTAACTGACAGAACTCTGCAGGTAAATTACCAAAATTCCAAATCTAATCGACTACCTGTTAGAGCAGGAGTTCCTCAGGGTAGCATTCTTGGGCCTATATTGTATAACATTTTCACGTCGGACCTCCCTGATTTGCCTCAGGGTTGCCACAAATCTTTGTTCGCTGATGACGCAGGCATTTCCGCTAAAGGCAGAAGTCTTCGTGTTATTTGCAGCAGACTGCAGAAAAGTTTAGATATTTTCTCTTCTTATTTATAAAAATGGAAGATTTCTCCCAACGCTTCCAAAACTCAACTTATAATATTTCCACATAAGCCTAGAACTTCGTTTTTGAAACCTAGTAGTAGTCACATAGTCACTATCAACGGAGTTCCAATTTCCTGGTCAAACCAAATGAAATATCTTGGATTAGTACTTGACCAAAAACTTTTAAAGAGCACATTGAGGGCATTCAAGCTAAATGTAACAAATATATAAAATGTTTGTATCCTCTTATAAACAGGAAATCCAAACTTTGCCTGACGAATAAACTTCTAATCTTTAAACAAGTGTTTAGACCGGCCATGCTTTACGCTGTGCCAATATGGTCTAGTTGTAGCACTACCAGGAAAAAAGCACTTCAAAGGATTCAGAACAAAGTTCTGAAGATGATTTTGAAGTTGCCTCCCTGGTACAGTAGTACCGAAGTACATAGAATTTCGAATGTTGAGACTTTAGAACAAATGTCCAACAAAATTATTAGTAATTTCAGGCAAAAATCGTTGCAATCTTCAATTGCAACGATTAATAAGATTTGGTTTTACTTTTTAGTTTTAAGATTTGAATTGTTATACATGTAGGTTTAAAAAACCTGTTTAAAATACTGAATTGCCAAGGCAGGAAAAATGTAAAAACACTTAGATATATATCATAACAATTAAGGCTGGTAAGTTACTGTAGTAACTGGAGCATCTAGGTTAAAATGAAATGTAATTTATTCTGAATTTGGAAAAAAATAAAGAAAAATAAAATTACATTTGCGGTAAAATATGGAATTGAACTGCTTTATATGCTGATTCGATTCCTTATCCGATTATTGGATTGGTGCATTTGAGCTTGACATCAATCATTGATTATAATTATTGTTTAAGTTTTCAATTTACATAATTTCGAATAGACCAGCAACATATATATCCAAAAGAGGATAAATAAAAAAAAAAAAATCTCATGAGCTTAAACATTCCCAGATGGTCAAATATTGTCAATGTCTTGAATATTATTATGTGTCGGGAATGAAAATTAATAAACAAACTCTGAGATCAAAAAATCAAAACATTGAAAGTAACTTATGTCTATTCTCAACTCTTAATTTAGGAGTTCTTTTCGAGCACATGCACAAATTTTATTTGAGGTACGTTTGCAAATTGAGAAAATCTCAACTCGAAAAAAAACCACCACCCTCCTACCGTGGTCTATTCTCCACAAATTCGGCTAATATTGCCTGCAAACCTCATTGCGCTCACAGCAGACCTCAACCTTCACTTCGCACACAATTTCATATCAATGCAACGCGTGGTTCTGCAAGTAACTGAACACCGTCAAATCATCACCGTAATTTACTAATTAAACTCAAGGCAATGATGCCCACGATTAAGCACCTACCTCAAACTTAATCGCTCTCTCGTCATTACCGCGTCCGTCGTTGTCATTGTTCCCCTTGAATGCACTTCTCTCTCTCTCTCTCTCTCAATGTTCACTCGTCAGTAGCCAATAGCCCCCTACAAGCTATTACCGTTCTTCAATTACCATCTTATTGTCGTGTCGGGCTTCGCTGATTGAATGCTTGTCCACCCATCCATCATCTGATCGAAATCGTTCGGTGTGGTAGTTAGACAGATGATTACTCAATCCTTTCACTGTTTACAACCTACAACCCATTTCGTTCAAGGACTCTTGAAGTCTTGAACCCCTGCAACTGGTAGCGGCAATTGAGTTTGAATTTCCCGCACAAGTAAAATAATCAATTTTGAGTTTCCATCGGACGGCAACAAAAAAAAATGTGTATTGCAAGTGCAGTTTTAATATTCAATCAAATATGCATTTGTGTCAAACCGCAGCGCACTAGGTTTGTACGTACGTTCGATCACTGCGAGCTAGGTGCTTCCCCCGAATTTGTTCTTCGCGAATGGATACAGGTCGTCCGTCTGTCGGTAGCTTGGTCGGTGTGTGACCGCATCGCTTCGCCTAGTTGCATTTCCAATCGGGGCCCAGGTTAGAGTTCATGTGCTTATATGGGTGGATAGGCGGAATCGGCCTGAACGATTTGAATTTATGCATGAATGTCATGATATTGATTTGAAGGATTTTTGAGCGGTTGGTTAGGGATTGGCCCGAATTCGGTGTTCATTGTGGGATGTGGGATCGACGTTTTACAATGTTCTAAAAATATTTCTAATAAATGATGTGGACGTGGAATTTTTTGAGGAACAAAAACAGTTAATAATGTTACGTTGAGCTTCGAAGAATGTCCTGCATGCTGGCTCGGGGCTGTAAAACCCCATCGTTCCCATTGTGCCGCACTCTTTAGAAGGTGCCAAATCACACTCGCCTCGCCTTGATTATAAATGCATTCCCGGATCCAATTCAATAAACATTTGTCCCAGACCCGATCCGGTGTATTTTTCAAATTCAATTTTTCTAACCCCTCTGTTCTCGTGCATTGCAGGCCATCCCTCCGGATGTGGTATCAACGAGGAGGTGTCCGCTTGGATGGACCGCATTCAAAACTCCGCGCAGGAGAACGATGCTGTCGTTGATAGCTCCAATGATGATGATGATGCTGATGATGGTGCAGTGGACAACCATGCCAGCACCGAAGCCCCAGCGACCAAGCGGCAAACCGCCGGCAGTGGAGATAATAATGTGAATAATTTAGAGGGAAATTTATTCCAAAAATCATCAACTCAGCCAAACTATAATAACGTTAACGGTAGCAGCGGTAGCCGCACCAGCCACAACTATAATAATAATTATCGTAAAAATAGTTCTAAAGATAATGTGAATACTAATTATAACAAAGCCAGTGGAAGCGGCAATCGGATCGAGACCGGGTACGAGTTTAAATTTCCCCACGAAAAGTACTCGAAAGCGGCCAACTGGATGGCGGCGGGGGAACATCCAGACGACCGGGACTGGCACAAGCGGTCCCACGAGCGAGTCCGACGGGCCACCCGACCCAAAGAGGAGAACAAAAACACCTGCTCGCTGTACATCCAGACGGATCCACTGATCTGGCGTCACATCCGGGACAGCATCGCTGATGTGAGTATTTATGTTTGCATAGATTCAGGATGTATCCTGATACTTCCTCCGGATGTGGAAAGGCTCGATTTCAGTTTAAATTTTTTAATACGCGCGCAGTTTCCACGGGGATCAATGGAGCGCTGTCAGGCTTTGCATGGATTCCCCCAAATCTCCCGAACTCGAACTTCGCCGTCAATCGGCTTTCTGACATAGTAACAAATCGCAACTGAAGTAACGTGAAATCCATCTTCTTTCGAGATATCCCGAAGCAGACAGGCAGCAGCAGCAGCAGCAGCAGCGCGCTATTGTAAAATTTCCCATCGCCCTGTCACACGTCGAGCGAAAGGGGATGAGCAAATGAATGGAACTAATCTATCCTGACGGGTCTTGCTAGGTCGCGTTGAGTTAGTTGTCTGTGGTTGAGCGGCCTCGGATTTTCCAGGTTCTTCCAGCAAACATACTTTGTTGCTGCTCAAACTTGCGGAAACAGAATCCATCATTCGAAAAGAGGGATGATTTAACAGGAGATTTGTAGAGGAATGATATAGGTATGGGATTGATAAAACACGTAGACACTTTAGGGAGGAGGAGGCATCAACGCTAGTAGAAATACGCGATTGAAATTTTAAAATTAAAGAATGTGTTCAAAGAAAGTCCCAAATTCTCAAGGAGCTCCAAGCAAAGCTCTGGAAGTATTTGGGGAATCTTCTTAAAAAAAACCATTGCAATTTTCTGGTGAAACCATCTAGATGACGAATGGGAATGATTTGGAATCAAAGTTACTCTAGCTATCAAAAGTAAACGGAAATTAAGCAGGTGCAAATGTTCACCATAATGATTTCTTTTGTTATAATTAACAGTAAGTAACACGTTTTTTGCCTTCATATATGTACATACTTGGAAAAATCTTCATGAAAACAGCAAAACGTAACAAAACATTGATGTACATTTTTTGAAAATTTATTAAGCATCCCCTTGGATCCCCCTATGAATTGTATATGAAACAGTAGGGTATAAGTTGCTGAATAAAATGATGTTGTCATAAGCTGCTAATACCTGCTAACCTGCAAGGTACACCATCTTAAAGATAGTGTAAAAAATGTTAAAACTGGCGTTAATTATTTCCACAAAGAGATAGCGATTTACTGTCTTCTGCAAAAATGTGTATTTTCTAAGCACTTACAACTTTGTAGAATATTTAATAAACGAGAAAATTCAAAGAAAAAAAATTATGGGGAAAAAACGTTTTTTAAGGGGGTACTACCGTGTGTAGTCCATTTTCACCCTATAACTTCGTCCACTTGAGAGATAGAAAGTTTACACCTTGAACAAAGTTTCTTAAAAAGACTTCATCTTCAATGTTTCCATAGGTGTTCATCAAATTTAACTAGACCTAAAAAAGTTATTTTTTTTATCTGAGTGTATACCCTCCTTAACCAAAAATTTGCACTCCTTAAATAAAGTACTTGAAAAATAAAGAAACATTCTAGAAGACAACAAAAAGCTATACTCAATAGTTTCGTCGCAAATAGCCATGTCCCACTTTTTTTGGCAATGTATAGACCGGCAATCGGGCCAAACAGCCTGCATGCCGTATTGAACGACAACGGCCAACGATGCGTGAACTTTGCAGCCTCCCGGGGTATGGTAGTTCGAAGTACCTTTTTCCCCCGCAAGGATATCCACAAAGCCACCTGGAGATCACCTGACCAACACACAGAAAACCAAATCGATCACGTTCTAATCGACGGGAAATTCTTCTCCGACATTATCAACGTCCGCACGTACCGCAGTGCGAACATAGATTCGGACCACTACCTAGTTGCAGTATGCATGCGCTCAAAACTCTCGACGGTGCATAACACACGTCGAAGTCGAACGCCACGACCCAACATTGAGCAACTACGGGACACCGGAGTTGCCCAGGACTACGCGCAGCAGCTGGAAGTTGCACTACCCACGGAAGAGCAGCTTGGCGCAGCTTCTCTTGAAGATGGCTGGAGGGACATCCGTTCAGCCATAGGTAGTACTGCTGTAGCGGCACTAGGTACTGCAATCCCGGACCGAAGAAATGACTGGTTTGACGGCGAATGCAAACTGTTAGTAGAGGAGAAGAATGCAGCACGGGCGAGAATGCTGCAACACCGCACGAGATTGAATGTGGAGCGATACAGACAAGCGCGGAACAGACAAAACTCGGTTTTCCGAAGGAAGAAGCGTCAGCAGGAAGATCGAGATCGCGAGGCGATGGAAAATCTGTACCGCGTAAACGACACACGGAAGTTCTACGAGAAGCTAAATAGTTCGCGCAAAGGCTACGTGCCGGAAGCCGATATGTGCAAGGACTTGGACGGTAACCTTCTCACGAACGAGTGTGAGGTGATTAAGAGGTGGAAGCAGTACTATGACGAGCACCTCAACGGTGAAGCAGCAGAAAACGAAGGTGGCACGGCAACAGACCTTGGAGCACGCGCAGAAGACGACAGGCTACCGGCCCCTGATCTTCAAGAAGTTGAGGAGGAGATCGGTCGGCTGAAGAACAACAAAGCAACTGGTGTAGATCAACTACCAAGTGAGCTATTGAAATACGGTGGTGAAGCACTGGCTAGAGCGCTGCACTGGGTAATTGCCAAGATTTGGGAGGAGGAGATATTACCGGAGGAGTGGATGGAAGGTGTCGTATGCCCAATCTACAAAAAGGGCGACAAGTTGGATTGCTGCAACTACCGCGCGATCACACTGCTGAGCGCCGCCTACAAGGTACTCTCCCAAATTCTATGCCGCCGTCTGTCACCATATGCAAGAGAGTTCGTGGGGCAATACTAGGCGGGATTCATGGGTGCCCGCGCTACCACGGACCAAATTTTCGCGATTCGGCAGGTTCTGCAGAAATGCCGCGAATACAACGTGCCCACACATCATTTGTTCATCGATTTCAAATCCGCATACGACACAATCGATCGAGATCAGCTATGGCAGATTATGCACGAGTACGGATTTCCGGATAAACTGACGCGATTGGTCAAGGCGACGATGGATCGAGTGACGTGCGTTGTTCGAGTATCGGGGACACTCTCGAGTCCCTTTGAATCTCGAAGGGGGTTACGGCAGGGTGATGGACTTTCGTGTCTGCTGTTCAACATCGCGTTAGAAGGTGTGATCAGAAGAGCTGGGATAGACACGAGTGGCACGATATTCAGGAAGTCCATCCAGCTCCTTGGTTTCGCCGATGACATTGACATTATGGCACGGAACTTTGAGATGATGGCGGAAACGTACATCAGACTGAAGGCTGAAGCTAGACGGATTGGACTTGCCATCAACGCATCAAAGACAAAATATATGAAAGCAAGAGGTTCTAGGGAATACAATGTTAGCCTCCCACCCCGAGTTCAGATTGACGGTGACGAAATCGAGGTGGTCGATGAGTTCGTGTATTTGGGCTCACTGGTGACCGCCGAAAATGATACCAGCAGAGAAATTCAAAGACGCATTATGGCAGGGAATCGTGCCTACTTTGGACTCCGGAGGACGCTCCGGTCGAATAAAATTCGCCGCCGCACGAAGTTGACTGTCTACAAGACGCTGATTAGACCGGTGGTCCTTTACGGCCACGAGACCTGGACTATGCTCGTGGAGGACCAACGCGCCCTTGGTGTTTTCGAACGGAAGGTGTTGCGTACCATCTACGGTGGAGTGCAGATGGATGACGGAACGTGGAGGAGGCGAATGAACCACGAATTGCACCAGCTGCTGGGAGAACCATCCATCGTCCACATTGCAAAAATTGGGCGACTACGGTGGGCTGGGCACGTCGTAAGAATGCCGCACGACGACCCAGTGAAAATGGTTCTAGAAAGCGACCCAACAGGAACAAGAAGAAGAGGCGCGCAGCGGGCAAGGTGGATCGACCAAGTAGAAGGTGACCTGCGGACCCTTCGCAGACTACGAGGCTGGCGAACTGTGGCCATGGATCGAGTAGAGTGGAGACGACTTCTTCGGACAGCAGAGGACAACAAGGCCTTAGCCTGATTGACATGACATGACACTTTTTTTGAATTCGTCCCACTGTGCGTCGGTAGCATTGGTACTCAGCACGGAAAACTAGATAGACGGAAAACAAATCAAGGAAAAGAAAATCATTGGTCATTCTTCTATACCTGCAACTATTATTAATGCCGTCTCTCGCTCTCTTGTCATGACTGTAGGCAGTCAAAACATCTGTGACTGTCGAACTGTGTACAGCAGTGTGTCCAGCCATTAGACCGAATGGTCATTAGGCCGAATGGCTGAAAGATTTCCAGCTTACCCAGTCTTAAATAAATTTTGACAAGCTTCCTTTACACATTTGTGTTTCTAAGTTTCTAAGTGTTGAATATATTTTTTTAGACTATTCGGACTGGGAAAACTTTTTAAGAAATCTTGGACTGTGGTTTGTGGTTTTTCCAAAATAGGAAAAAAAGTCATACATCCCCCTAAAATTTTACAGATTCAAGTTTGGTAAGCAATTAAAGGTTTTTAAGTATTTTTCCTTGGCTAAAAATCTATCAGACATGAGAAGTTCTTTCGAGTTTTTTTCCTTGATTTATTTTCCGTGCTGAGCACCAATGCAACCGACGTCAGGGAGGCAGCTCCCACGCCCACACATGAAGCGGGGCCAACGGATTTTCTTCCCTTCCGAAGGAAGTCGTGCCTCAGAACATCCCGGCGACACCGGCTGGGATTGAACCCAGGCCTGCTGGGGTGAGAGGTAATCACGCTTACCACTACATCACCGACGGCGCTTTTCGAGTTTTATTGGATTTGTTATTTTTTGTATCACGAATAAAATATCCCTTCACATTATTATCCTTCTTTCAAAGGCTGCTCGTTCTTTTCTCACGCCAATCTATCTGATTTGGTTTTTTTCGGTAGTGAAGACATTTTATGTACCAACTGAATTTTCGAAAATTAGGTTTTGGTAATTTGGTAAGAAATCAAAATGTGCCATTCTTAAGAATTTTCCCTTCATTTTTACA